AACCTGATTACTACTAATTTCATATTTAATGTATACTAATTATTTCATCTTTATTTTATAGAATCTAGCATCAAAAACATATAAGATTCAATTACCTCTTCTTGGTCTTTATCCTGATGATTTGGAATTTAGGAAGGGATTTGAAATTATACTTGAACAAAAGAAGCCAGGTTATATTGAACAGCTCGGATCACAATGGATTCATATTTATTCAGAACGCATTGGTCCTTTGGTAAGTTGTATAGTCGTTGTTTTACATTAATTGTTATACCTAAACTAATAACATAAACATTTCATGATAGTGTCGTGATATAATTAAAAGTCGTCGATGCGATAAAGCTAAAGATATCCGTGCTGCAATGTTTGATATATTTGGAAAAAATCGTTTGACACGTATCAACACTACCGCTGATGCTGATACTATTAAAGCATTTAAAAGATCTTATAAAACAAAAAAAGCATTTGATTGTTTATTTGAACCTGATGATGATAATACCTTACCATACATTGAAGCAATCAAGAAAAAAGCATGGGGAAAAAAGAATACTACAGGAATGGATACGGCTTTTACTTTGACCGTTTGTGAAATTGTATTAAATCCAAGATATCCGAAAATATCTGTTGGTGATAATGCTTTTCATAATCAATTTGATGTATATTGGGTATAAGATATGACCATAAATACATGTTTTTAATTAAGCAAATTATTAATAATTATTTATTATAGGATTGTATAAGCAATTCAAAAGAAATAACGAAAGATGTTACCAAACATATCAGATACAAAGAACTTGGCAAATCCTATAATAGTACCGAAGAATTTACTAGCCAAAGTGATAAATATGATGAGGATTTAGATAAGCAAGAAAATGAAAGTAATGCTGATGAAAATCATAAGATGAGCGAAGATAACGATGTTGATCAAGATTATTTTCACCCTTAATTAAACAGTAATGTAAGTATTTCACCATCAGTAGTTCAAACTAATAATATTATATTTCGATTTTATAACAGTATGTAATTTCTTTTATTTCTTAAATCACAACAAATTTTAATGTATGATATAGGAATTAATTGTTCATTTAATGTGATATTATCAAAATTTGCAACATGATTATATAAAAAAATTAAATAAATTTCAATAATTTAATTATTTAATATGCTAATATGGGCGGTATTATAAAATATTTATATATGATAAAATAAATCCTTTAAGTTTCTTTGATATTAAAGTTTCGGATCTTTTAAGTTTCTGTTAATAATTTAATTGAAAGATCCTTTGAGGTGGAGAGGTTTCTTTGCAAATCTTTATTATATATAGAGATCTAGGATTCTTTATGTATCTGAAGTCTTCAAACATTACTGATGTGAGTAACTACGGTACAGCAGTTGTTATCCTGCTTTCCTCATTTATCTAACAGACCTCTATATTGAAATTGCTGGTGTTATATATTCTGAACAAGCTTCATTTGACCCTCTCTCTCCAGTAATACTACTTCTCTTTCTTAATTATTATCTGAGTCAATGTTGCTGGTAGCAAGAGTATTCTATGCTCTAAAAATTTGCCTTTCAAAATTGGAGACTTATTATAAAAATCTTAAATTTATTTTAAAAAATGGTAATATTTCCCGACAAGCTGCTTTTCTCTACATTCAAGAAATTGATTTTAATGGTAAGTAATTTGTATTTTAAAGCTTTTCATGATCTTTTACTAACAATGTTTTACAATTTTAGATATCACAGTCCATTTCAGCTACTTGAAACAAATCGCTAATAAGCTTGTATATATTGTTAAAGTTTCTAATAAATATGAATTAGTAACAAAACTACTGCTAAAATTCACATGTCAATATGAGTTAGTGATACACCAGTATTGTTCTGATAATAATATAGCACTAAAATTATTTAGTTGTCAGAATATTTTTGGGGATGGATGATGGTGATTATGGAATATCTTAATGGCTATCTCAGACTCTGTGATTTAGACAGTCAGATGAAAAAAAAGGTGGAGATGTCTGTAATGGAGACTGTGCAGATTATGTATTCTGAAAATTATGTTCATGATGATTTGAGAAGTATTAATATAATGATATCTGAGGGAGATGTGAAATTCATAGACTTTGACTGGAGTGGAAAGGAAGAAATGATTAGATATCCTTATTTTATAAACTGTATTAGTATAAAAGTGTGGTATAGTGAAATGTATGCTGGAGCTTTAATAAGAAAGACACACAACTTGCACTTATTAGATCATATTTTTAAAGATGAATAAAGTTTGATTTTGTAGGATGTTTCATGATTGAATTATCTTTAGTATGACTAACCAAGATTAGTTATTCAATTATAAATTGATAAAATTTATATATAGGATTACCTGTATATGAAAAATAATAAATATAGCAATTCAAGCGAATATGAAAAGGCAATACTTTCTTAGAGATAGGTTGTAAATATGATTGCTCAAAAAAGATTCCTAATGAAAAGTTTGCTGAGTTACGTGAAGCATTTCAAGCTCTTTCTAGATCTGAACAAGATATATTTTTAATGATCCAACTGAAAGTAATGAATGGTAAAGAAATAACTGTCAACTGACATTTTAAAAAGAAAACGCGTACTAATAAGAGAACTTTTTATTATTGAGATCGCAATACGCTACTTTGTTAAAAAATGTATCTCAATATATTAGGAATTGGTCGCATCTACTTCGAAAATGTCAGAAACTATCTGGCAACAAATGGTATAATACTGCATATTTATAGTAATATCAAACGAATGCTGTGATAAAAAACTAAAGTAATTATTAATATAACCGTTGCTGCTACTATGAAGAATTTTCTCGAAAATTATGCGAAAATTCATGAATTACCAAGTTCTGGTAGAAATATTAATCGCATTACTCAATCGCTTACACTTTTGCCAGTAAAAACGAGTTACAAATCAGTTTATCGTGATTTTTTTGCCAGTCTCAAAAATGATAGCACGTTAAAATTGTTAAAATATGATGCATTTTACAGATTATGATATCAATTAACGTCATATATTCAAATTATGAGTCTGAGAACAGATTTATGTGATATGTGCTAACATTTTTAGAATGGTTTACAGTATAATGCTCATAAGGAAAAAGAAGCAAGAGACTTACTAAAAAAATTCAAAGAACATTTAGTTAAGGCTAAATTAGAGAGAAACTATTACAATAAAAAAATGAAATTAGCAGAACAACAGAGAAAATTAGTAAATGAGCATTTTATAATAAGAGGTAAAGCTGTTTATTGTAGTGTTAACACTACTGCTCATTACAGTTACGATTGAGTGTAAAAAATTCACGTATCCATTCTGATTAATAAGTAAGTAAGATTTATTATCTCAGTTCGCGTAAAGTGCATTTATTTGGTATTTAAGATGAAGCAGTACACGAACAAATTAATTATATTCTCGATGAAAATTAAAGGTTCTAATGGCACACTGAGCATGGTATTTGATAGAATAAAGAAATTGAATAAAAGTGAAAAACGTTTAAAGATTACTTGTAATAATGCGGGTGATCAGAATAAAAAAAATACTACCATTTGATTTTACTTATATTTAATAATTTGCAGCTATTATGAAAGTATTGAATTAAATTTTATGGTATTTGGACATACTAAATTTAAATGTGATAGTAGTTTTAGATTGATTAAGAAAATATATCGCAAAATAATGATAGATTATGTAAATCATATTGTTAAAGTTGTGCAAAGATCGAGTACAGTAAGATTAAATAAAGCTCAGTGTTATGATAATGGAAATACTTAGATCTTAATTTTGTATTGGGAATTTTCTTTAAGAAATTGAATGGTTTACAAAAGTATCAACATTTTCTATTTAAAGCAGCCAATTCTAGAATTGTTAAAGTCCAGCTGGTTGCTAATGGTAATGCTTTTACTGAATTTGATTTATTGAAAATCAGAAAAACAACTGTTTTCAAAATTATCAAAGAAATTAAATCTTTTTCTATCCTAGTACTAACTCCTCCTCCTTTAGATTATAAAAAATAAGAATATCTTTATATAATATTCACCTATTTGTTAGAGACAAATTCAAAGATATTACTTATTTAAGACTAGCTTATACTAGCAATGAATAAAATATTTAGACTAAAATTCTCTATCATTCATTAATTTCTTCACTGTATTAAATTCTTCATCTAATTTTTGATGAATATTTCTACTTTTAATTTTTAAAGCTTAAATAAAAAGAAATATTAAAATAATTATATACTTAATATAGCTTATAAGTATATTAAAAAATAAATAAATAAAAAAGTCATGGTAAACATCCTAAAAGAACAACAAGAAAAAAATAAAGAACTATTAAATAAAATTAAAAAATTGAAAAAGTAATTAGCAGATAAAGATAAAGAACTCAATGATTATAAAAACACGAAAGTAAGTAAACAAGAAGAAGTAGAATTTAAAAAAGAAGCAACTGAAAAAATTCACCAAATGTTGGTAGATATAAGGAATAGATTTCCTCACTGTAGCAAGAATATTAAACAAGATCTAAAAGAATTGATTAGTAAACTATTAAGAAAGCAATTTATGAATATTTATTTTCAACACAGTCTTATGCATGATTATAATTGAGAAGAAAAGAAGAATTTAGAAAAACTGGTAAAGAGAATTATCATAGATCATTTTGAAAACACTGAGTTAGCCATTGAATTAAAAGATTGAAAGAAATGAAATGAAAGAGTTCATATTTTTTTTCGAATAAAAGAAAGAGATGAAATCTTTGGTAGACCAGCTAAGGATATAATTCTTAAAGATATTATTGGAGGTAAAGATGAAAGAATTAAAGAGTTGGAAGTGAAGGTAGAAGAATTAGAAGAAAAAGTAAAAGGTTAAAAGATGATTTAGAAATAGAATGTGAAAAAATTGAGAAAGCATTAATTGTGGCTGATAAGTGGAGAGAACGTTAAATAAAAGAAGTAAAATCAATAATGTTTTGAAAGAGAAGTGATTTTTGAAAAGAATAAAAGTTTTAGAAAATAATATTAGTTGATTAAGAAATAAAAAATAAGTTGTTAAAGAATATGAGAATAAAAAATTACCAGCCCTGCCTAAAAAGTAAAGCAGATTATTAAAACTTAAACAATTAGTAAACAGAGTTAAAGAAAAAAGTAAGAAGAAGTTCCAAACTTACATTATTCAAAGAAATAAATAAATTAGTATGAGTTTAAAATATAGAGTTTTGAATTAAACTGGATAATACTCTTATAAGTGTGTTATCCAGTTCAGTTATAATGTTACTTAGTTATGAGTATATTATTACCTAGTTACTGTTTTTACTGTTCTGTGATCATTTTATTGCTTTATTAATATCTATTTATTTTTATTGCTCTGTAGCCTTTTTATTGCTTTGTAGATATTTGCTTGATTTTATTGCTCTATCCTATTTTTATTACCTTCTAGCTATCCACTTGTTTTCATTGCTCTGTGGCCAGCCCATTTGATTGTCAGATGAGGCACGAAGTGTCGAATTTGCAATCCATCTATTTGCTAAAGATGTATCGCAATCCATTCACTCACTTTTTGATTGTTGGTCAGGCACGAAGTGCCGATGTTGTGCCATTTTTGCAATCCCGTCCATGACCATTTTGATTGCCGAGGATGAGACACAAAGTACTGAATTGGTTCAGAATTTACAGCTTTCATACCCTTTTTTCGTGTATTCTCCTGAATCTTTTTGCTCTTCCGATCTCTTTCCTACCTATCGGTGGTAGTACACCAAAGTATAACTTCTTATTTTCTTCCTATATATTATTCTACTTTGGTGTACTACCAAATTTATACCTTATTTTTTGCCCTTATATTCCTAGAACCTTTCTCGTATAGTTGCTATTTTGGGGTATCCCTATGTATGATTACTTTGGATTATTATTGCATTGATTACTTTTGGGTACTACCACATCGACTACTTTTGGATACTACCACATCAACTACTTTTGGATAATACTACTGACCCAGTATTTTGCTAACAAGCATATTCGCTCAAAATTTTTATTTTGAAGATTTGGGAAATTTACATGTAATTTTA